CCTTTTGATCAGACGAAAAAACATAGCATTCGTTAAGGTATTTTACAGTACCATGAATGTTATAACAGCATCTTCATCGCGGCAATTCACTTTATATTGAGTAGATGTAGCAAATTGCAGCGAAAAAATATTTCCTACTCTTGATCTAAAATATTAAAAGTTTAATACGTTAGAGATGTGCATAATCTCCATTCTATCATTTAATAACCTGACTTAATTTTTAATGGAAAATAAAAAATCATAAGCAATTCAAAAGCACCATTAATCAAATCTGAGTCAAAACAATAAATCCGATAACGAAAAATTAACACCGAGGGGAATGAAACAATTCACAATTCCCGGAGCAAAACATTTGCCTTGCAATTATTCAATGCGTACACAATTACACGGTGTCATCGTGTGCCCCTCCGGACGGACCCCTTCGCATTCTCATAATAAAATCTGTATCTACAAGTCGGCAGAGATGTAATGAAGATAAATAAGTCAGTTGGGATACGGACGCAATAAAAACAAAATCAGTTTGAGCCCAATTGACAATGGGTGCATGAACCCTTGTACCTTTACCGTAAGGGATGAGTGAAGACTACTTATTATTCAAGAGAATATAGTATTATTTTTATTTAATCACTGCCAAAGAAATTTACTTTTATCACTACACACAGTCGGTATAATTATCGTTTGTTTGGAAAAAACAAAAATATAACTAAAAAAATAAATATTTTCGTAAATCTTTTATAATTAAATTTTTCACATAGAACACAGTAAACTACGTTTTGGGAAGGTTAGGTTAGAAATGAGATCAGAAACTTTCTAAGTCTTCCCCATTGCCCTATTATATAAATACGCTTCAAACGATTATTCTGTCTAATATTTTTATTAAATAACGAGCGTTCCGCCAGCAGCTTCACTCTCGTGGACCCTAGGTAACTCTTTAGATGAATATCGATTGATATCATAACAAGGATATAATTACAATGACAAATGGAATAGAAAACAATAGTTACTATAGTGACGTTTTAATTCCCTACACAAAATTCTACGCCCATTTTCTTTATTTGCTGTTTTTCGGAATAAAATATAGGTAGCATATGTTCACTGCATGTGATGTAGCATATGTTAAAGAATTTTTAAAAACGGTCTAGTAGTTGTGGAGGCTATTCGTTGCAAACAAACAAACAATCTTATAATATTAGTATAGATGTAATTATTGTCATAAGTACATACTTCTGCTTATTTATATATCACCTAATAGTATTAGATATATATATATATATATATATATATATATATATATATATATATATATATCTCGAAATTTTCTTCATGAAAAATTCCCGTCTTGACAATCAACCACACGGTAAATTTTCAGTATCGCTCGTATAACTTATATGACTGTGTTGTATAATATGGTACACACAGGATGTTATGCAAATGTTATTATTATTTTTCAAATCTAATCATTTTCATGATAATATTTTTCTACTTCTGCTGCCTTAGTATCTAATGGTATCTATTTCAGCCAAATTATACAATTACAGTCTATTTATTTATTTAGTTTTTTTCGAGTTGTTTGTTATAATTCGTTAAATAATAAATGCAAACATTTATCTGTATCATCAAATATAATATAAACGGTTACAGTTCTAATTTCAAATCACTGCAACAATCGGGTAGCGAACGTGTCATAGACAATAAACGTATTAAGGGGATCTATAGACGGCAATACAATTACTGGCGCGTGCGATGCGGTCCGTGGGGTGGCAATTCTCGATAATGTCAATGGTTAATGTATAGCTATCGGTTTGCGCCTATTACAAGGGCTGTTCCGAGCAAATTGAGCGGTGCCACTATTAATTAAATGACCAGTAATAGCTTCCGTTTATGGGATGATTTGTAGTGTGTATATTGATTCAGTAACAGAAAAAAAGTTTTATGAATTATGTAATTAGTATAGATACAACGGTAGCCTTATTAATCGTGTTAAGGGAGGTATCGATCATAGAATATCGCAATTAAATAGTATTTTACAAATTTCTGTTGCTGTACAAAAATAAATAAAATGTTGGACAACATTGTAATAACTCGGACTTGTATAAATTGCGCTTGTTTTAAAGCAGATAAGTGTTCTACTTAAGTACCTATATAAAAACGGTTGGTTTTGTTTAGCGCATTTTGAAATTGAAATTTATATAGTGAACATATTATAGGTTAAAAATTATTTGAAAATACAAAGCGGGATTTATATTCCTAAGGGATTAAAAGCGTAAACAAATAAGATATTAAAGACATAACATTTAATGAGCCACTAAATAGATAAAAATATAAAATTAATTCTATTCACGAATAACTAGTTATAGAATTATTTAAATTTACTGAGCTCTACAATCTTGTTTGTTAATGTTGGCTTTGTTATTTTTTTAAATTCCTTGCCATCGGAAAGGCAAAGGTGTTATTTAAGAAAAGAACATTGTCTCTGGATTGATAATTGAACGTGACGTGTTAAGCATGGCAGCACGACATGCAATAACATTGTAAACATGTTGCCCTCATCAAATCAATTGTCGAACAAACTTCACTTCATTATGTCAATTTGGACCGTTTAACTGTTTTCTGTGCATTTAAAGTCACGATCTATATAAGGAACGAGCGAGAGGAGAGCGAAACGAGACGAGAACGAAAGAAAAATCTAACCATTTATTGAATGATCTTAATGTTCCACCTTACTTATAATGTGACATTAATTATAGAATCAAAAAATGCAAATGTTATTAAATTTTTGTGCACAAAATTTTATTACATTTTAGTGCACAATTATTTGCGATTTTTTATAATCATATCAGTTAAATGAATGTGAAATTAAAGAATATTATCTCAATTATTTTCAAATTGCTGCAGCTGGCTTCTACAGAATGTCAGTGCAGTAAGCCCCGATTACTGTTTATACTGAGCTGAGGCCACCTTGGTGACACAGACCATGACACATTTTAATATTTATTTCGTAGCTGCTGATTATTTCTTCATTATGTGTTTTATTTTTTTAAATTATAATTTTTTCTTTTCTCTTGTCATATTTATAAACTTTTTGTAAATCGTGTATGTGATGTGAAAACTTATTCTATTTTAACCGCTATTTATTTAATCAAATAAAACAAGCTATCTAATAAATAAAAGAGCTACCGTGGATTTTTAAGTGCAATGCAGGCATCTCACTTATATTTATGACGGTATTTCGTGTTTTGTTTATCTAACACGTTAACATGAGTTTTGAAACAAAGAGCAAGTCGTTACGAAATGATCTCTTTCGGCGACATTTGAAGAAATTTGAAGTGACACGGTATCTACATTTTTTTATACACCGGAAATATTTCGGAAACAATTTTCTTAATTCTTAAAAAAAGGTGACATAAAAACGCGGCAATCGAATTTTACCGCCATGATTCCGTTACGGAAATCTATCTCATAGACCCATTGACATAAATTAGCATGTACCGGATGCTTTTTAAGTTAAGAAAAGGTTTAGAGCATTGCGTTTCCTTATTTCTTTTTTCCTATCCAGCCAGCACACGCCATAGAGTCGCACAACCCGCGCAGCTGGTGACCAATGAATTCGTTGTGAAAAAAGTCTTGTTTCATAATAAACCTCTTTAGGAAGCTACTGACGAGACTATTGCAAATTGATTGTCGAGTGTTCTGTCGCCACCCGGCATGGGAACGACTCAAGTGGCACCGACGCCATGTTAAAAAAAAGAACACGAATCTAAATGCATTCAAATATGCAATAAATTTTCGATGATAACTACTTAATTAATTTTTGAAATACAGCTGTTCTTAAGATGGCACTGGTTGTCTTTTTTATCATTTCATTGCACGTTTAGGTAATAATGTAATATTAAATATTGCTGAATTCGTCTGTAGTATTTTCAGTAAAATAACATCCTTAAGAGCTATGATTACGATGGGATTGACATGCACATGACCCTGCGGAATAAAGTCCCAAAAATCAGGTTTATATGATGATAAAAAAAAATTAAAAATCACCTATGATTATAACTAAATTGAGAACCAGTTTATTATATGGAAACTGGTGTCGGACATCTTAATCGAGCGCTCATTAAAACTATAGACAATAGACATGACTTTTAAAGGCGCTCAATGTTCTTTTTTCGGTATTTAGAGTCAACAGCGCTGCCTTTTTAAATTTAGAACCCCTCAACAGCTAATCAGATTTGTAAAGCGTTTTGAGGTGTGCTTTATTTTTTTTATAAAAAGAAGCGGGCGGCTTTTTGTTTGTTATAGGTAATGAAATATACAGTCAAGAAAAAGCACACACACACACCGCATGGGAAAATATTTAATTAGACAATAGCTTATTTGTGTTTGTTTTGTGTTAATGTACTCCTTTTGAAACGCTGGATGCGTTCAATTAGCACCTATATAGACTAGTGGTTTCTTGCGCGTTTTCGAATGCCCTTTTTCTTTCCAACAAACTTTTATGACGAGTCAATCTTGTAGCGGGATAATTAAGATTTCAATAAAATTTTAGCTCCGTCAGCGTGATTTTATAAGCATAATTATTTTGTGGTATGAGTGTTTCTACAAGTAGTTGATGTCTAGACGAATAGTAATTAAGATAATGCCGTCACTCATGAATGGCTACTTATAACCCTTTAAGAATCGGTTGCATTTAAAAGATACCGATTATCGGCTCTTGAAACATGCTTCAGACTAATTTTAGTTACTTAAAATGTGAACGAATTGAAGGGTGTATTACTTACCGGCTTAACTACAAAAGAAAAGTGTATAATATTCCTATGATTATAAGATTGTCTGGAAGACATCGCCTTTAGTGATAAGACCGCTTTTCCCCGCCATGCCTTTAATCACTCTATAAAGTGGTTTTTGTCTATCTGCCTATCTATCTTCGACCGTTTGCCATTTTGTTTTTTTTTATATCTTTCTTTTCTTTGTCCACAGAGTCTTTGAGTCCTCAGTCAGAACAAATGACCAATTCATCATCAGCACCTGATCCAAACATAAGGTAATCAACGATTGCTTCTCAATTATACATATATCTATTACTCATTTGTTTGCCAGCGATGTTCTAAAAGATTTAATATCTTGCAGGCGATACCGTACCGCATTCACCAGGGAACAGTTAGCTAGACTCGAAAAGGAATTTATGAAGGAGAATTATGTTTCGAGACCTAGGAGATGTGAGCTCGCCGCGCAGCTGCAGCTGCCAGAATCTACAATAAAGGTGAGATTTTTTTATTGTTGCTTCTTTATAGAAATTTAATTTTAAAAAGTGTTTCTTTATAGAAAAAGTTGGTTGGTAGATATCCCAAGAATTCAAACCACAATATTAACAACCCTAATTGACTTTGAATATCTAACAACTGCTTTATTAGTTCTACAAATTATATTTTATTTGAGAGAGTTGAATCAATCGAAACTTGGTGTCTTTGATTATAATGGTAAATATACAAAAACTTGGTGTGATAATACTGAACACAGAAAGACGGTATCTACATATTTTACAGATTATTAATTTATCTTTGGGTGTTGTAATATTTGGTTGTGACAAATGACCGTCATAATAATTATTCGTGTCACCAATATGTCGTCATTGTAACACGATAGTTTCTCTTTTAGCGTATCGTCAAGTGATCTAAATGTGTTTCTCCATTCATCAACGCCCGCCCACATAGAGCCTTCATTTAGTTATCTACTGACAAAGAACTCACTTCTTTCGCAATAAATCTGAAGTAGATATCAAACTTTTTTGCGGTAACTTCTTTAACATTGTTTAGTTGTACGTACGTAACTGTAGCAATACTTTGAATGCGTAGGTGTATAACGTCACAATTTTCAAAGACTTACTAATAAATAGTACATAAAAAACCATGTCACCTTTCACAAACAGTCAATGTCATATAATATACAGCTGTATTACCAAGAGTTTATCGAATATAGAATTAAAGTTTCTATTTGTAACTATTGAGCCGATCATTGCACTAGGGTGTAAAAGTTAAAAATCTATTCCTTATGTATATCCTTATCTATTCCCATTTAAGATTATCTATTCCTTATAATCTTAAATGTACAATAACAAACGTTGAAATACAATAAGATCGCAATGAAACTCATTTTTTTATTCATTTTTAAATTTGGTCCATCATAATTATCGATACGTGAAAGGCCTTGCTTCTATAGTGCTAATCATTCGCATCCAAGACAGACGCGTATGATCCCTCAATTAGATACACAATAATTTCCATCACGAACACTTTATAGCCGGTCGCTAATTCACAGAAATCACGCGAACAAATTCGTGAATAATGTAACACAATTTTAGGAACTGGTTCTGTTGAAAAAAAAGTATTGGCTGTAAGAGCGTGATTTTTTTGAAGCAGCTTTATTAAAAAAATACTACTTAAAGTAGGCAGTTATGGTAGCACTGGGTGATTATAAATTAGGAACATGTTCAGTATTTAAACCCTAAGTTTTACCTCCTCCTTAAGAGGTGATGTCACCTCACATACGTAATGTTATATCTACTGCTATATCTTACCTCTGTTACTTACATATCAACATCACAATCAATTCAAAAATATAGATGAATAAAGATGAAAATGATGTTCTATAGAGGCAATAATGAATATCTTCTTTTTACGGATAATTTAATTTAAAAAAAATCATAAACGGTTTTTTCTCCCGGTTCATACGTAACACATGTCTCACTTGCGATAGATGATCACAATATAAAAGGCGCAAATATTTCTTTAGCGCAATATATGATAAATAAAAATAGTCGACATAAGGACGGCCCTTATTACTCGTACATACTTCTTTATTAATAATAATTAATATCTTCATTTACTCAATTTCAGCCAGAATAACTGTAAATTAAAAGATAATGATTTTAAAAGTTTCAAGAGCCGTATTCCACGCCAATTTAAATTCCAGTACTGTCATAATGTCAATTATCATCTCTATTAAAAAATAAGAAAACGGACCGCGTTGAGAAAAAAAAACACATATATTTATTGCTCCATTCGTATTTTACATTCACGCTAATTTGTCGATGGGTATTAATAAAAACCGGCCGAATTATTCAGTAGCTTTAGAATGCTAATGAATATTGAAGGCGGGAAACACTCGGTTATATGGCGGTCATCATTAGTGAGTGGTGCATGAAAAGACTTCATCGATTGTCTATGGTCGACGGTAGGGCTGTCATTTTATTGTAAAAAGAAAAAAATAAGATATTATTTATATGTAAAAGTGTTATTAAATCTATACAAAAAATTAACCTACATGCAATCAAACACGGAAATGGATTAAATCATTTGCAACTTTTGATCAAGTCTGTCCTTTTTCTACTTTGATCATATTATCCATTAATTAGACTATTATCTATTAATCTTTTAATAAGGATTATCTATTAATAAGGACTTATTTCTATAGACGGACAATAAAAAACTAAATATTAAATCCTCCAGGACTATTAAAGTAGAAAATGACTACTTAACTATTGATTTCAAATTGCAGCAACCCTCGGTACGTTACTGGCATCTGTTTTATGGCGCGATTACGTCAATTAAAAACTATTAAATTTAACCGCGCGGCTACTATTTGATACACAGTAAAGTCGGCACTTTTTACTTCATGTTTGTTTATGGTGATGTAGTTTTATTATACTGCTGTTAAAACACAAACTTATCGAGAATTCTCGGGACAAACTCTTTCGCAGCTAATTAAGAATTAATTAGATTCCATGTATTTTCTTTAAATAATTTATTACTTTGCTATTTTACGTTTGTGTATAATTATGCTGATTTGGAGGTCAAAGATTGCATTATTAATTATTAACAACAAATAAAGTGAAGGCTGTATGAACATTTGGCAAAAATATTTATATATGGTCTATGGTACGAAGAAAAGATTTTCCACAGCTTTCTCGCGTAAGATTCCCGTCAATTAGCAAGCATTTTAACGAACAAAGGTAGTCCCTTCTCACTAACAGTGTTTATTTGAACTGGATGCAAATATAAGTAAAGGGAAACTGAAAAGTTTTGCGCGTGCACATTTTGTTGTTTTAACCGCCATTATGGGTTTAATGTTTTCGAGGCTTGAGTGTTGTAAAGACACTAAATATTTTATATATGCAATTAATTAGCGAGGCAATGTGAATTATGAGACAAATATGTATTATGGTGGGGTTGTAAAATGAGATTGTAACGGTTTGCAGGAGTAGTTCTTCGAACGACAAAAAAATTCATTTCAAAATTTTTCTCTCTCATGTCTTCCGAATCATAGGAAAAATTTAAGCCCCATGTGCACCTCCACGTTGGTTATAAACAATCTTTTTTACGTAACATTTTTGTACGTTTGTGTTTAAAAACGAAATAAAAAGTATAAACTCACGTGCGGCTTAATTCTGACAGTCATTTTTGCCTTTTGGTTGTACTAAATAGCCCACGAGTTAACATTTTTTCACAGAAACTGTTGTTTTATATTAAATCCACTATTCACCAACACCATTAAAACTATACGCTGCATACCAGCGTATTCCGAATCCTTCGATTTCTTATATAAACTTTTATTTATTATGGTGGTGTTAAGGAAATTAGTTTGGTTCGCCTCTTCCGGCTCGGTCGTTTGCGAATGAAGTTCAATTTCAAGTTGTTCAAATTAAAGTTGTTAAAAAACGATGTTATCTCTCACAATGAAATGACTAGATTGCGAAATTTACCATCTTATAACGAAGTCAACAAATCGTAACTAAAAAATATAAAGAAATGAATAATTTAAAGAAAACCCGACTGCGTAAAATATGCAATTTTGCCACTTTTGCATTTTTCGTCAAGATTAATCCCTTTTTGAAGATTTAACTTAATATTTTTATTTGAGCGCGGTGGCGCAACACTCATTTTTATATATTTTTTATGTCTTAGTGCATTTTAACATAGCTTTAAATTAGAAAGAAATGCAAAAATGGTTATTTTTTGGGGAACTTTGATTTTTTCTATCGGGTTTATAAATTCACGTTTTGGTCGGGATTTAATATCTTAAATGTGATATTGTTCTCCCATTTCTAATTACAGCTTATTTAAACGTATTTCTTAGTACAAAATCGATTTTTAGAAGTTATTCTTATCGACTGATTGAAAGTTAGTGATTTTAGGCGTACGTGTTCACAGAAACCTTGCTGTTGGATATCTTGTCCATCAATTAGTCTATAGTGATATAAATTATGAATTAAATAAAACAAATATAATAAATTTTAACGGTAACATTTACACAATATCGACCACTTATCGACATGCGTTTAACACATTATGGTCCCCATCACTACGGGAAACCTGTCTTTATACTAGCTAATAGCGTCGCTGCAGTTACTTCGCCCGCCACCTACTCCACCGCTAAGATTGACATCTTTATTTATTTAAAAAATAGTCATCATACGGAATCTATTGCAGGTTATCTATGGTTCCATTTAAATATCATAAAAGATATCTTATAAAAATAAATAAATATATATATACATATACCTAATACAATTTCTTTTGTCCACAGGTGTGGTTTCAGAACAGAAGAATGAAAGACAAGAGACAACGTATTGCCGTCGCGTGGCCTTACGCCGCCGTCTACAGCGATCCGGCCTTCGCGGCCTCCATTTTACAAGCGGCCGCGTCCTCTGTAGGCCTGCCTTACGGTTATCCCTCACCTGCGCTCATACCACCATTCCATAACCCCCAACTATTACCCTCCGGATACCCTTACCCTTACCCGACATACCCCCGTTACCCTTACATCCCTCCTACTCCCCCGTCGCCAGTTAATCCCGAAGCGTCATCCTTAAGGCCCGCATATCCCAACTTTAACATAAACGTTGATAAATAAATGTAATATATAAGTTAAATGTATTTATTGTAAATACGCTTTATTTGTAATTTTTGTTATAAGATAATTTATTGGAAGCTATTTTTGTGTAAATACTCAATAGAAGTTATTATTGTTTTATTTAATAAAATATATTAGGTAATAATAATTGCAAGTGTGTTCAATTTATTCCATTAAAATTGCGTTTTTACAAAATATGTGTAAATTACATAACAAATTGAAATCATTCCAATGGTAACATACACAGCTATTCAATAATAATTAATAATGTTATTTACGATATCGTAATTCCTACATTGTAATTATAGTTATTAATTTGTGTAAATTACGATTACATTTAGATTTAATTGTAAGACCAAAGCGTTATAATATTTTTCGCTAGTGCAATATTTCTCGCATTATACTAGCTGTTAATTTCATTAAATCAATCTCGTACATAGGGACGTCGAAAATAAGAAAAAATTGATTACAACAACAAATAAAATCCCCTATGTGAAAAGCTCCAACTTTTAAGAGAGAAAAAGAGTTAATTTTAATGCGCCTCCTTCACATGGAGCATGATGTAACATTTCAGAATTCATTTTAAGCATTACATTACAACACTGCCTCCTTGATTTGAGCATTTATATGCGATGTTAATGATATGTATATGAAGTTGTGACAATCTGTTACATTACAGGTTTCGCAATGTAATGCGCGATTGACCTCCTTTACAGGGGACCAATTCTACTAAATAAATTTTGTTTAAATCGAATCAAGAACGGATCGAAACCGAACGAAACTACGGTTTTCAATGGTTTTCTATTCTACAAAGTGACATATTATTCCAGTTCTATTTTAGCTGAAATTGTATGTCACAAACGGTCAGTTGCACAAACGTCCATTAAGGTTTAACGACTCCTTTAAGCTCTAATGAATGTCAAATTTGTATGGGTAATGTCGCTTTAAACAAATGAAAATCTTAATGAACGTTTGTGCAACTCGCTGTTAGTAGAATAGAAAAACCATTAAAACTGTAGTTTAACTGTAGTAACTGTAGTGTAGTTTAGATCCGTTTTCGATTCGATTTAAACAAAAATTATTTAGAAGAATTGGACCTCTGATGTAATGCTCGACAATTACATTATATGCAAATGCTTCAGGTGAGGGGGCATTAAAATGTATTAGCAAACTAAATTAAAATCATAAGATAATATTTTATCGCAGGAATTGGTAGATAATGGCGAAATTGGGGAGCTAGATTATGATAACTTAAAAAAAAACACAGCAATTTTTCACTAGTGACAATGACTATTTTTAAATTGTAATTGAAAAGAAAACACACGAGTTCTTTTGTAAAATATGTTTTATAAATAGAATCAAAATAATTTGTTCTTATGTGAATATGTGTCGTATGAATGATTTTAATTGTTCGATATAAGGAAAATATTCCATAGTATTAATAAGTGAAATAACTTGTAAAAAGTTACATTTAAACATATAAAAGACATAAAATGAAGTTATATATAAACCTATTTCGTTGTTTTATTCTAAACCACTTTTAATTTATTCTTAGCTAATATCGAACCAACTGTTTATCGATGATAAAGCATAATAGTACGACAAAGTTATTTCAACTTGATAATTACTTACAGTGAGATTTAGATGTCAGAACCACAGAACAGAAGGCTAAATAACCTAGAGTTCGTCTCACGAAAGAAGTCCCTCGGATCACAATGTTTTTGCTCTTATTCCACAAGAATAGGAGAAAAGCTGCGGGACTACTTTCGTGAGACAAACTATACTTAAACAAGTAATTGTTCTGTCAGGTAGCTGGCAACTCGAGAGAGCCTGAAAATACTATAAACACTTTTTATAGTGCTTGTTTCCAAGTGCAGAGCGACCGCCTAACTCTCTAGCCATGATTTTCCCTGTTACAGTAAATGATTTAATCAGAGAAATCCCAGCAACTCGCGAAAACCGCTGAAAGGTGTTGCCAACTTTCAAACGCATGCTTTTACGCGGAAAAAAAGAAATGATTTTTTTTTTTACTTTTGTCATTTCTGAAATGAAATTTGGGAAGTTTTTATTAATTTTTGCTGATACCAATTTAGTCATTTATCCCAAATTTAACCACCAAAAGGCATGTCATCGTCATATCGTTATAACATCGCTAAGATGTCGTATTATATGGCTATAATCAAGGCTAGAGAGATAGACAGTCGCACCCCTGGAGATATTTTATATTTTGAAGTAATAATTATTATAGAAATAAAGATTATACAAACAATTAGTAGTTTGAATAACAGTACAAAAGGTTTCACAGGTCACAGCGCTGTGCTCGACGTTGAAAGTTCATTTTAATATAGAACATCGAAGCTGCAGAATTGAACACGATCTCGATTTCAATTTAGATCCAACCCAATAACGTTTTTAATTTACGATTTGATTTTATTAAATCTTAGCTTAGCTCTTGAACTATAGACTTAATACTTACTCTATGTCAATTAAGTAGTTAGGTAGTTCAATAACCAAGCAATATTGAGTCAATAGACGCCAGCGTAAGTACCAAATATAGAGTACGAGACATCACTATAGGGATGACGCTAACATTTTTTGTTTGTCCGTCAGGTGTTGAAAAATATAAAACACGCCTTTTTATTATTTTTTGGAATCTGATTGACGGAATAAATAGATTTTCTTTTTTTTCCAGTCGTTCCACTCAGCATGCTTACTCGTGTTTAAGTAAGTATTTTGACGTTTACGTTCACTGTCGACCGTGAGCGCGTTAAAATTTTAGTATGGAATCTGGTACAGCGCCCCTAGCGGTAACTACCAAGAACTACAAATCCCGATACAAATTTTTAACGCGCTCACTAGTTAACGCGTTAGCTTAAAACATACTTGCCACTCTGGTCTGAATTTGATATATCGAATTATAATTTACTTAAAGGTTTAGATTTTTATAGAGGTAAAGATTCTAACTTTGTATGTTTCTAAAGGGTAATCTTCGGTAACACTGATGCGATAACGATAATTCGTTCAAATACTGAAAGCTATATCATAAGCGTTCGACATAAGCTTTTACGCGAGCGATGTATATGTTAAACTATACTTACATAAGGCCTCGTTCTAAACGAGACCTAATAGTAAAGTATAATATAAGACTGTAGAATGTAGAAGCTGAGGAAGGCCAAGATACACCTTTCACGATCAAATTCATTACGTCATGTTAAAAAAAAAAAAATACTCCTTGGTTATGTCAGATTAAATAAAAACTCGCTAGTATGTAGGAAAAGAGCACTATTAATGACAAGGAATCTAAAGACTTTTGGATTGGTTGGTATTAAAGATTGGTATATAATGGTGCTTCAACATATGGGTAATTATTTCAGTTATTAAATTGAATATTGTCAATGAATTTATTTATATGACGTAGCATACTAATCGGTTACCGAAAGAATCTTTTTGTATTTTTTTGGAAAAACGGCTTCATAGTCTAATGAAGTCAAACAGCCCTTGCAGAGTTTCTTGCCCGTTCTTCTCAGTACAAGTCTCCCGCTGTAGATGTGCGAATCGATGCAGCTTAGACTGAATAATTGATATTAAATTTAACTAAACAATCAAGGGGTACCAAATCAACTGTTTGTGGGGGTAAAGAAGTACAGAAGTAAAGTCCGGAATTTTTTATGGGCTTCAAAATCGGAAATAACTGAATAATTTAGACTTCAACTTCAAGTGGAAAGTACAATGGCAAATAGCAATATATGTGTGTGTGTGTGTGTGTGTGCATGTGTTGTGTGTGTGTGTGTGTGTGTGTGTGTTTGTGTGTGTGTGTTTGTGTGTTTGTGTGTGTGTGTGTGTGTGTGTGTGTGTGTGTGTGCGTGTGCGTGTGTGCGCGGGCGTACAGACTTTTCCCTAACTTTCAGTATAAAAGAACCATCTTTCCTCATCATCAAACCAAACATCTTGCAATTAATGATTTTCTATTTCTCTTATTGTTCTGTGTGGTTCATATTCATATCCACCCTACTCCATACTCAATCTTACAAGGTTCTTATCATTTATTACCAAGTTATCTCGCGCTGAATGAATGGTGGACATTTTTATTATCGCGATATCATCATCCTAGTAGCCATCCTGTTTTATGTCCATATTTCTCTTGCTGGGAAGTAATAGGTTTTGTTTACCTAAATCTATAATAATATTATATTTGTTTGTTTGAATTGGACCGAAACTACTGGACCGATTTAAAAAATTCTTTCGCTTACGGGAAACTACATTATATGCGGCGAACATAGGCTATCCCGAATTACAGCTAATGCCTATCTAAGTATATACGCAACTGAAATGAAGTTTAATTATTTATTTATACAATAAAAATCGGGAAAATCTTCAATTACGTCGCTCTCATCAATCTGCCAAACTTTTAACCGAGCCGATCGTGATTTTCTTGGCCAAATCAAGAAATGGCAGCATATCGTGGCATGCCCGGGCAGATCTCGATTGGCCCAAGTCAACCATTGGCCCACGATGTATACATTTTTGAAAGTGGTCTATGTAACTAGTCGTTTTTAAACATGGCGAAACAATTACAATAGGTCACCACGATCTGTCAAATTATAGCAATTGATTTTAAACTCTACTCTCAATGAATTAAGATTTAAAATCAAGTGAATTTTAAAGAATTTGTGTAACTTGAGATACTGTTGACTGTACAGTTAATAGTCGAAGTCTATGTGACGACATCAAAACGGGCTATTGTTTATTAAGTTGACGCTTGTATAGTCAGGGCATGTAGCGTGAGAAGCTTGGCTTTACTGATCTCAAAATATTTCGACTCTGCGAGCCATTTCAGTTTATTTTTCAAATAGTCAAATACACATGGCAAAAAAAGAAATACCTACTGACAAGTTTATCATAGAATTTAGGAAAATTCCGTTTTATGATTAAAGAAGAAAAGGAAATATTATATTCATACTTTATTACCAATCTCCTTACTTTTTGCAATAAGGAGAATT